AACTAGGCCATGGCCATGGCGAAAATTTTGAGCTTTTATATTCCCGAGAGTTTAAAGATTTGAACATTCACAAGTATATGTTACCGCATAAAGCGGTCATCCGACCATACCGGACTGAAACTGACTTGCGATTCCAAGTCCAAGCCGACAATACCTCCGTTCTACAGGATTATTACTAGGCCTACCCTTATACCCAAGACCCACTGTCTCCTGCATATTTAAGTGTATGTGTACATATGTCATTTATCACTGTCGATCCACTGCTGGATGAAGGCTTCTGCATAGACTGCAGTTTTCTGCTCGTTTCATCCATTATGAACGAGTGAACTTCTTCGGCACATCCAGCCATCGATCATGAGATTTTTCTGCGGGCCGCGGCCGTTTACTCTCTTAAAAAACAGTCAGTCTCTCTGGTCGGTCTTTTTCGCAATGCTTTGCCAATAGCCACTTTATCATCTATACTCGAACTATTACATCGCAAACTTGCGATTTTTCCTTTATCGATTCCTTTACCCTCCTATCCTTTTTTGTTATGCGCAACATGTATCTTTCCATGCTGCGTTACGTAGCTTGCAGTTTACGAATAAATTTCAGGTTCAGGGCCCAGATTTCACACTCACAGGCTAACAGTGGGAGCACACTGGTCGAATAATGTCCGTTTCAAGCAGGCAGTTTCCAGATAGGAACATCTTCCATTTTCTGAGTGCTATACGATTTTTATTTTTCCGTGATTTCACATAATCGATTCTCCGTTGCAATAACGACCTGTCCCAGATAATTGCAGTATTGTGCTACTTCAAGCTTAAATTCGTTTACTTTAACTGGCAGTGCGGTTACGTATTACTTCCTGAGTCTTCAACAAGTTCATTTTCAGTCTGGCTGTATGTTGGCATCGTTCAGAACTTGAACTCCATTTTGAGGGATCATCTGGCGACCTCGAGAGGATCAGAATATAGCATGCAAATCGAAAATGATTTAAGTAGTCTTCACCTATGTCCAGTCCTATCCTTAATTTTCTCAACGGAGTGCATTGAAAGCCTCTTCTGGGGCTGCTGTGAATAATTTCTGTGGCATCATGTCCCTGCTGTCAGACGCACTGACTGCTTGTGCTTTCATAAGACTTCACACTAGAGGTGGCACTCTTGCAAAGCATAGCGATAAGATCCTTCG